TCTCTCTAATGGATGTGACAATTTCACAAACATGTACACAACAAGATTCGTAAATGTATGCAATGGCGTGATTCAAAGATTGTAAGGAATTTTTCTAAAATTATTGGGGAGTGTGAGGTGATTTATGTAGGCCTATAATTTTCGTGTTTCATCTGGCGTATCCTTAATGCACGTTGCATACGCGTAGAATTCATATAAAGATACGTTATTCTTTGCGTGTCAGTATTATTTATATCTTTATCTTTATTTTCAATTTCTTCCCTACTTTCTTATGCTCTACTTTTTATCATTTTTTTCATTATTTTTTCGAGGAAGTTTTATTACCCTAATCTTGCAAGTCACATTACTACCATATATCTTCTTGTCCGTCTCATTTTTTCCTCTTTTTTCGGCCAAAGAGACAGACGTTAGAGTGTGTGATATGCGTTATCTAAATTCCGATCTTATGGCAAAGGATGAGAATATATATGTATTGTGACGTATTTTTTCCTTTTTTTTTCTATTTATACACTGCTAATATCAAAGACATTCCTAAAATTTGCCGACATACAATAGCAAATACAGCTTAGAACCCCACCACAATAAATAAATAATAATAATGATAAATACACAGAGAAAATGATAATTCGCTTCCAAATAATATCGTGACTTGAATTCACCAACGAATAATAACAAATAACAAATCTAACTTCAATTCACCTACAAATGATGATACACACACAGCATATGACCGTATGCCTAAAGACATTGTGCAATGCAAATCAGTTCTTAAAACATTTTTTTTTCTGCTATAATCTTCACGATTTGTAGAGTCTTGACGTAACTTTAGGACTGTCAGTTTCAAAAATACAATGGTATCCTCTTGTGTTATTTTGGCATATCAGTTGATTTTAGAGGTATTATTCCTTAGTAGAGGACTGTGTGCTTCAAAGAGTGAATTCTACAATCTCTTTAAGCATACGACCGTTAGATTCACCAACAATAATAACAAATAACATTAAATTCGCCCACATGAAACAAATACAAATAATAACAAATAAAATCCTAGATTTACCCACAAATAATAACAAACAATAGCTTAGATTCATCAATAAATGACAACAAATAACAACCTAGACTCACTCACAAATCAAAACAAAAACATAACATAACAAGCACCTACAGATTACCTCCGATCACTCAAGGCGAAACAAGACAATCGCAAGGAATTTAGTCTTACCTCAGGATACGTCGAGCTTCCCGCCAACGAGACTGAAGGGAATGCAGGCGATCAGTCTGACTTCGATGTATCACTGAAAATCCTCTTGTTAAGCACTGTGTTTGGGTTAAAGTTTTTTGGGATGCACTGTTGCCCCGTCTTCCACGAAATTCAAAATGTTATTCTTTCCGTTTGGATCGCACTCTGTTTTATTTCATTTCCTGTGTGATCTAAATCATTCCTAAAAGTCGTTTTGGTGTAGGCTTTATTATATATATTTTTTCCAAGTCGTTTCTGTAATGAAAGGTCATTTAAGTCAGTCTAATGTCAACTTCTAAGTCACTAATACTGTAAAGTCGGTCAGTAAGTCAGTCGAAAGTGGAGTCCTAAGTCATCCCAAGTCAACCTTCTGAAGTTACCGTCTCCCCACCCGGCTATTATTTTCTCCCAAGCACTGACGTATAAAAGGGTTATTATACTACCAACGAAATGGCGGAAATAATAACTCCTCGTCACTCCTCGCAAGACATCCTATTTATCCCATCGTCTCACTCTTCCACTTCAGTCGTGCGATCACACCGGCGCCTTAAAACGCCTGAAGAAGCGAGCTTACATGTCGCTAGCATAACTATGTCAAGTGCAATTAGGAGGAAATGTATCTCTGCTTCTGTCATTTGCCAAAGACATTTCTTTCCATCACGCTTAGCTTCCTTTTCAGAATATTTGACCGACGCTCTCCACTCTCGGTCGAGGTCCTGGCGGTTCGCTCAGCTGTCTCTTTCGATCGGAACCTCTCTCGCTCTTTTTATAGCTTCATATTTATTCGCATTGCTCCCTCCCGTTTCTGTCTCGTTTTCCTGCTGATGATAGATTTCTTAAATCTCTTCCTAAGCTCTCCCGGTGCACTTTTATCTTATGTTTATGCGTATATGATCTATCAATATTGTTACAATCAACAATATTAATATATTCAATATTAAAAAAAAACACTTTCTAAATAAACTTTTTCACATAAACAGAATTCTTTCAAGGAGCTCTGAGAGATGATCTGGTTCTCACGGGCGGAATAGGCGAGTGAGAGAGGCGCCTAAGCGAAGACCAGCTGGTGCTCGCGGAAGGAAAGGGGTAAAGGAGTCCAATACGACTATAATTACCACGAGTTGAAGAGCACAAGCACGCACCGACTCGAAGACGTTATTCGACAGGCGATGCTCGACTCCTGAGAGAGAGAAGGCACCGCAGGGCTCTCCTTACCCGAGGATCCTGCGCGGCCGCGATGTGGTAAGGGCAGAGGGGAAGCTG